CCATGCAATCGATCGTATATCACATTGTCCGCTCCCTTGCAGTATAGCACCACGGTGTTGCCTCGTCGAAGGATCACAGACATACGCTTGCGGACATTGTTGAAATCTAGAATATTGAGGAGCTCGTATTCCTGAAAGAGTGCATGTTGGATTCGCATTATTTAATATTCAAATTCCTACTCTAACAGATCGCACCTCCTTTCGACCCATCACCTCGATGGTAATACTGTTTGGTGTTCGTGAGCGAAATACAAAACCAAAATTGCGGGCAGCCGCCACGAGAGCCGCCTCATCGGGACTTTGGGCCTGGTACTCCAGCTTCCCCTCTACGGTCTCCGCCATGACTGTATGGCAGAGGGCCAACAGACGAAAAAATACGTGGGAATGCTCCTCATTCGAGCGAACTGCATCCAGCAGCGTGCGATCGTACCAGCGAAAGTCGCTCTCGTGATGAGGATTGGCTGAGAAGTCGACGCATTGCAGGGCCTGCGAAAGGGTGTAGGATTAGATGATGTGTACCTTAGAGGATCTTACGATTTGTGGGTATATCTGTTGTTTTCTGATATGTTAAGCGAAGCTTGGCTGTATACGATACAAAGCAAAGGCACGCTGTTAGATATACGATATTAATCCCAAATTATTAGACAAGAAAAACGTTCTGTTTACTTAATACATAAAATGTAATCGCAGGGGAACACACAAATAAAATAGATTCTGTTAGTTTCTAAAATAAACGAAATTTCGAAATTAACGATATTCAAAGGTGGTATATTGGTGGAATCCTAGGGTTTTTAACATACTCTCCATCCTATTAAACGATCATTTCTTAAATTCAAGATTTTGAAAGTCTATGTTATATATATTTGAATAATTGTGCGCGATATTAAACAGTTTAATATTCCAACTTGCGATTTTCGATCATGTATGATATTCAAAAATGTACAATAATCTATGAAAGTTTCTTTAATTCAATGTTGACCTTTTAAAAAAATTTAATTTTAATTAAGCTTTTTTCCAATTTGTGATACATAATATGGGACATGATACATATGCAAGATATTGGACATTTTTATTTTCAAAATTACTAAAATCGATCTAAATAAATTCGAAAATTTAATAATATACACCAAAACGTATTTGTACTGACTTTCAACAAAATAATAGGGATTATACATTTTTTAAGTAAACAAGTTTACGATATGTGCTTTAAGGATATTTAATATACTGATGTAATGTCACCAGTATAAGCAATCTGTACACAATCCCTGTGCAATGAAGCAATGTTCCACTTGGAAATACATGAACGTGCATAAATATATATACATCAACAGACAGTGCCAGACAGTGCAAGACATGCATATATTTAAGCTACTGGGTTGTAAGCAGCTAATGCATATGTAATCAAATAATCAGCGAGATTGCAGACATCGCATGCACACAGAGGCATTCAAATGTACAGACAGATGGAGTACAGGGATAAATGGGGTGTTGATTGAAGGACATGCGACATGCATACGTGCACTCTCTGACGCGACGAACTCCAATTGGTGGCAAATGATTCATTGTGGTGATTTTGGTGGGTGGTGCTTTGGTGCTGTGCGGTTGGCGGTGCCTGCAGCGTCAGCTCCTCTGTAGCGCTGTGGTTGAGACAGAAGGGAACACTCAGCGATGTTGTTGATGGGGATTTCTTGAACTTGAGCTTGACCAACCGGCCATTGTGTTGTGGTTGTTGGTGGTGCTGACTGTGGTGGTGCTGGTTGTGGAGGTGCATGTGTGGTTCGGTTTGTTCGTTGTCATGCAAGATCTTTACTTTGTCACTGCTGTTTGTGCTGGAAAGTTGACGTTGCATAAGCCCCGGTCCACTACGCTTAAAGCAGACACCCAATCCTCCTCCGCTGCTCCTACTGCTGCTCCTTTGACTGTCATAACCAGAGGGTGACGATCCTCTAGGGGTCGGCAATCTTCCAGGGATTGTCCCCCCGGGCTCCTCCTCCTGGCTCCTGCTGGGCGCCGAATAGCGCACTTGTTTGCGTCCCCGATTCCGCTGGGGGTCTTGCGGTGCCGGCAGCGGAGCCGAGTGCTCCATTTCCGCTCTGTCAGATGACGGACTGCTGGCCAATTGTGTCTCACCCTCGGCGGTGACCATCACAGAGCTCTTCTTCGCATGGACCTCGGCTTTGTGCACCAGGATGAGGGGTGGCTGCTTTGTTGATGTAGCTGTTCCTGTGGGAACCTCTTCGTGATTTCTGGGGCTATTGTGGAAAATTGTTTGCTGCTATAACGAGTAATGTGAGTGGGTTTTTTTTCTTTTTTTGCATTGCTTTGCTTCTCGCACAATTAAACAAAAGGGACTAAGGACTGGGACCGGGTGTAGGGAGATCAAAGTAAAAGTTTGATTTATCCCCCAGTCGCCAGGACAGTGCAAGTAAACGGACACCAAATTAAAAGAGAGACACGAACGCACACACAAAGGACAACAGAATCCCTCAACCAGGAAGTTAGAGGTTCAAGTAGCTTAATCCACACCAAAATCCCCATTCCAAATCGCCGTCTTTGGCGGGGGACTCACCTCAGTGACTTCGATGGGTTCTCCCGTTCGCAAGTCAATCACATCGCCATAGGTGCGCCCATTGATGCTGCACTTGTTGAATGTCATGATGTTCTGGGTGAGAGTGCCCGTCTTGTCCGAGAATATGTACTGTATCTGGCCCAGCTCCTCGTTGAGCGTGGTGGTGCGGGCTTTGGCATAAGTATTGGTGCGTGCATAATACATTTCCTCATCCCAGTTGATGAGAAACGACTGTATAAAGCGTATTACCTGCGGGGGGAGGAGAGCGCATTGCATATTAATTAGAGGATAAAGTACGAGTATTATGCACTTACCTCTACTGAAACGTAGAGCGAGATTGGCACAACAGTGTTTAAGACTATGGCATACGAGAAGAAAACAAGCAATCCAATGACTGTGGCCCCCGAGGGTATATAGTCTTTGGGTATGATATGCTCCCAGGGCAAATACACCTGGAAATGCTGTCCTATCAGACCCTCCCAGATGGCGCAGCCAACGGCAAATAAGGCACAGATCGCCACCAGAAAGAGAACAATCTGAAAAGTGTAACAAATACATAAATATATGAAAATTCTCTTCTTTCATCAGTTCTTCAGAGTTGCCTACCCCAATGATGATAAAGTTAAGCAGGCGATCCACGCCTGTACTCTTAAACTGCGTCTTTCCAGAGTTCTGCATGAGTTTGGTGTCCACTCCGGCAAAGACCACAACGCCATAGCACCATTGGGTGTTTCGCAGCACACAACCTCTCAGCAGAATCTTCTCATTGTCCAGTGCGAATCGCTGATTGCGCCAGATTAAAGTGCCATCGAACTTGTTCAGCAGATTGTTGGGTCTCTCGCAGAGGATCTCGCCATTAAAGTTCCACAGCGCATCATGATGATCCCCCAGCTCGATGGTTTCCGTTAGGCATTGTTTGGCCTTCAGATTGGTCTCCCCATCCAGTTCCGCCGTCTCAATGAAGCACAAACCGTTGGGCTCCGATGTGGTCAGCAGCAGGATATCGGCGGCCACAAACTGATTGTTGTCCAGGCGGATGACATCGCCCACCTGGACCTCCGACCACTTGGCATCCACCAGTTTGCCATTCCTCAGGGTCTTCGACTTGCGATTATTCACCTGCGAGTCGGATAGATGTCGTTGCTGGAAGGAAGATAGTTCTATGAAGATCTGAGCGGTTTCAGAGCTCTTTTCATACGTACAATGTCATCATAGGCATCTTTGACAGCTGTCAGAGTGAGTACTCCAATCAGAGGTATAGCTGTTGTGACGGGCGTGAGTGAGGAGATTGCAGGAATCAATTGGAGGACCAGCAGACAGAGGAAATAAAAGTTGGCCAAACGCTGGAACTGCTCCAACAGATTGAAGGGCAGGAAGGTGAACACCGAATACTTGGAGGTCTTGATGTAGTTGTTCTTTAAATAAGATTCATTGGCTTAGTATTTATTTGGTTAACTTGAAGTTTAGGAACTTACATGATATTTGTACTGAAGATTAAACTCTTTGTCATTGGCGCGGATTCTGCGTTCGTTCTCTGTGGACAAAACGGGAATATTTAAGAAGATTTCGCACGAATTCGATTTAAAACTATAAATTTATATAAACTATTTAATCTAGTCGTGTATTCCTCGTTCTCTATTACCCGAAAAATAGTAGGAACTGCGACGTCTTCGTAGCTGGGATAGACGCCGCAGACTACGCGTTGATTTCGATTCAGAGACGACTGAAGGATCCCTTTGCTTGTACTGCTCTTGGTCATCCTGTTTTGGATCTCCTGTAGGATTTGGGGCTTCTGTGGCCAGACTGTAGAAGCTATCCCCTATCATCAGTGGTGTGGCTATGGTCTGCGTGGAGCTGCCTATATTCATGCCCTCCGGTTGAGCGAGACAAGCCTTCCGCCCATTTTCCGTTTCCTCTTCATCCTCCTCGCAATGCAGGCGCTTCCTTCGATTCCGGGAGCTCCTTGCAAACTGGAACCAACAGGCTTTCTTGGTAGATGATGAAGTGGATGCTGTTACTGCTGGTTCTCCGATTGCTCCGGATGGGGTCTGATCATCCTCCTGCTTCTCAGCCCGCTGGCCATCTAGCACCGCCAGCTCCAATGTATCCGGACGCTGGCGCAGGCGTCGGGCTGCCTCGCTGCACCTCTTGCCACCACCAATCATGATCAGCTTTTTGTTAAGCTCTCAAGGCAACTTGCTTGGTATCTGAGTTCTTCATTATCTTTCATTCTACGATCTACGAAACATACATATGCATGTATGTATGTATGTACGTATGTTTGGGGGGAGGAGTGGACACTAACGCGTTGCCAACGCAGCTGTGAGATTAAAATGCAATTGAAAACCCATTGGCACCGAACAAACTTTCATGGGGGGTCGGACGCCATCCATCACTTTTATTTGATGGACTGCCTGCCCCTCTGGAAAATGCCCACCTCTCGACAGCTGTGCCGCGTCTGAGAATGTTTGAAGAATAAACAAATAAACATAATTTGGCTTTGATTTTACGCGGTATCCGTAGAGAATGATGGGTATACGACTATACGGTGACTATGAAGGCAGATCAATCAGATTTGATATGAATGGAATGGATATACTATACATAGCAATTATCTAAATATGTGTCTTTTTTTTTAGCATATTTAGTAGTCGCTTGAAACTAATTTTCCATATTGGATTGCTGAATTTATTAGCAACAAAATTGGAAAAGTTTGTACACAACACAAACGCTCAACGAATTCCCATATTCAGCAACAGGTGTTCCTGCCCCACAGCCGAAGGCTGAATGGAAACCAAACAAAGTAACAAAATGGGAAGGAAGCTGCAGGCAAAGAACACTCTCTCAATCTCTCTTTCTCTCTAATAGCTGCTGGAGAGTCAATGTCAAAACTGTTGTCAAGGCCACAACGCCCCTGTGAGTGGGGGAGAACACAAAAAACGGCAAAACGGAAGATGAGACTAGAAGTTGCAATGCCAGAAAGTTTCTATGCTTGGAAAACAATAAGGGAAGCAAAAAGTTTCGAGCTACATGGATTAAGCCCGAAATTGATATTCGTTCGATTTCAATTCACCCTGCTCAATAAAACGGTACTCTTTCAGAAGGTTATATGATTTGGAGAAAATGTTTGCAGTACCAAAAATAAAGCTTCTTGAACCTTGATGATACTGATAAGCTGTATCAAAACCGGGTACAATATTTAGCTACCGTAGAAGGTTCTGGAAGGGTATCCAAGCTTCGGAGCACAAATTATTGGTCTTCATATTTTTCGTGGATTGCTTGCTACGTTCCAAGGTCCTTTGCCTTTGCATTTACAGCTGATTTGCGCTCGCACTCTCTCTCTCTGGGTTTGTTCGCTCTCTCTCGCGTCACAGTTGGATGAAGTCAGGCAAGCAACAACAAAGCCGGCTACTTACTTCACCGCTGTCACCACGCTTCTCTTTTCCTACATGACCTCCTGTCTATTCTCTCTTCTCTTCCATGTCACGACGTCCTGCTGTGAACATGAGTCATGCATGTGAATGTAAATATGCTTTGCCTTCTGTCCTGCTTCTTAGTCTCCTTTGCGTTACAGTTTCTTTGGGGCAAGCTATATTAAACAGAAGGTAAGGCAATGCATGAGCACTGTTGGGCTCCTGTTTGGTTTGCCTTACCTTCTATTTAATGCAGCCTGCTTGCTTTTCTCCCTGCTTCTTGCTCAAATTTCGTTGTAGTTTCTTAGCGTTCTTGTTGTTTTCTCTTTTCAAAGTTTCCTCCTTGTTCTTGTTGTTTTCTCTTTACACAATTCCTTCAAATGTTCTTGTTGTTTTCTCTTTTCACTCGCATGCGTCATCCACGGGTTTCGGCGGGTGGAGGGGTCAAAGTGGGTAAAACGCTCAATTACCAAAAGCAAATTAACTACAAGCAAAAGCACAGGCAAAGACAGAAGCAAAGTCAATGCCAAAAGAAGAATCGATGGAAGGCTCAATAATTATGCTGACAACAGAAAACAAGAGCATAGGGAGGACGAGGGCATTGCCAAGGCGCTGTCGGACTTGAGAGGGGAGTGGGGGGCCTGTTTCAGTGCCAGGTGCCAAATGCATCATCAAAAGAACAAGGCGGCGTTGCAAGCAGCACGTTGTCCCCCGGCCCGACATCACCGCACATTTTTAGCACATTTTTGCACTGTTTGCGTTTACACTTTTTCAAGTAATCCACTTGCAGCAGCGAATTCCGCTTCTTATGTATGTCTCTCACTAATCACGAGTATGAGAATATATTTATTCCATTACGATTTATTCGTCAGTTTTATTTGGTTTTAACGGAGAAACGCGTTGAACAAAAAGCACGAAACAGTCAAAGCGAAGCGGGCCAACAACTGCCAGAAGACGAGCGCGGTGCGGCCACACTGTCCAACGGCAAAACCCAGCGCAGCGCCGCCAGCAACTGAGCAGAGTACCGTTTAGCTGACGACGTCGACGTCGCGACGCCACCGACCCAAAGCAAGCCCATAGAAACCGAGGAGGCAATGTCGGACGCACGACGAACAAAACGTGTGGGGCTGCCAAGGCAACCTAGGCCAGCCAGGCCAGAGGGTATGTGTACAGGGTGAGGCATTCACAGAGTGCGATTTGGTATGGTGGAATATTTACATACCGAGGCGTTTGTATAGGTGAAAGAGAAGAGCTATGCAGAAATGGTGAGAGAATATACATATATGTACATCTCGAAAAGCAACTATGTCTCACCCTGTACAAGTTCAGCCTAGCAACGCGGCAGCGAAAATTGAAGTTGAAACTGTTTAGGAAGCGGCAGAGCTTGTGGGTAATTATAAAAGCTATGAGAACTAGTTATTGTTTAAAAATCAATCGAGTAATCAAGAGATCGATGGGGAATATAAGCGTTTTTAGCCGGTTTCAATACATTATATATTTTTATTCCAGCCTACTAATTTATTTCTAATTTCTTCTGATCGATCAGTAATGTTCAACAGTAGAATTTATTCAATACTGGACTATTGGTTGTTAATTCATTAGATCTAGCTTTCATTTGATTCCCATTGAATTATTCGCTCACAGCGTAATTAAAAATTTTAATTTATGCCAAGCAGCCATAGAGACCTCTCATTGTAGGACATTTTAATTTCTGGCGATCGATGAGTCGGGGATGATCAAAATCAATACGTACTTATTTTATACATGTGCAAATATGTATGTAAATCTACACTATAGATTCTATAATAACCACAACGTAGCATTTGAGGCTTCAAGTGAGCGTTGAATCAGCAGATCGATGTTTTATTCAATAATTCCCAACTGTAGGGCATTCCGAATTCCCCACGACCCACTTCAGGTCATATCTCAAATTTCTCAGGCGTAAAAATGAGAAAATGTTGAGCAAATTTCCGTAGTCACCCAAAACAAAAAGAAAATAAATAAAATTTGTGCGAGAGAGAGTAAGAGCGGCCAGCAAACAAATCCCAATCTCTCTCTGTCTCTCCGGCTGGTAAAATGCACGTGAATCAAACAAACAAAAAAAAAGCGAAAGAGCGGGAGAGAGAAACTGTTAAGAGAGAACGCATTTGAATTTGAGAGCGTGAATGTCAATGTCAGCTTTTGCTGAGCGGGTCCATATGGGTTAATGAATGATTGCCGCGGGTGTGTGGGGGAGGGTATGATTTGAGGTATTCCTACACTTTGATTTTGGATTTGTATTCTTAGTTTTTGTTGTTTTTGTTTTTCGTGAATAGAACTAAAGCAGAGCAAAGCCAAAAAAATGAACGGAATTTGCACCAAATGCAAGGTATAGGGAGACCGACAGGATTATATATGTATGTACATACATATGTATGTATGTATGTATGTATGATGTAGATGGAAATTTAGTTTGCGGTTACTGTCAAAGACTGAATTCCGTGAATTCTTTTGAAGATGCCAACAGGTGTACAGACGAATCTATGCATACATAAATCTATTAGCTAAAAGTTAATAGCCTATAAAACGATAATAAAGGCAAAAGCTTAACAAAAACTCATTGAAAATGTTGTTAAACAGAAGAATGGAGGGTGTTAAGGGTGTTCTAGAACAATTTTCTTTGTCTAATTGAAACTAAAAAAAAATAGGTAAAATATTTTCTACTATGACTTATTCCTTTCCATGAAGTCGAAATGGTGATCAGATTGTGATAGAATCTTAAGATTAACCATATAAAACCCTAATTAAAATAATAAAAAATATCTTTCAAATTGAGGATGAAGAATATATGTATATGTATAAATTATAGGGTATCAAATATGTGGAACATAGGTCTTCATTCTCTCCATTCTCTCTGAACATCTGGTGAAAACTATAATACGCACTGTCTATGGTACACAAAGAAGAAAATCGAAAATCATGACCGAATAAAGTGTTGTATACAAATAGGAAATGATTGCATTAACTCAAAAGCACTTTGTTGCTGTTTATTTTTGCTCGACTTGGGCCACCACCACGCCAGGAATTATACACACTCAAACACACGCTCACTCACACTAATTCACATTCGCATTCACATTCATTCAATTCATTCATTGCGCGAGCAATACGCGTAAGAAATCGAAGCACCGTTTGGGCCAAGCTCAAGGTGGCCTCACGCATACTACCTCGTCAAACAAAGGCACACTCACACACCCATTCAAAGACTCACTTGAACACACCCATAGATTTGGTTCGAATCGTGTCAGGGCCAAAACGGGCAACCAGCTGCTTTTTTGTTAAAGTTTTTTCTTCTCTCTTTCTTTTTTTGTTGCAGTTGGGTTTGGTAACGGTTCAGGAACTGGGTCACTATCTGCCCGAAATGGGTAACAACTGTTCAACTTTTTGCCACCCCCTATCAAAAGGAAAAAGAGTGGGGTTGTGGGAGCGAATGGAAGGATGTGGAGGTGGTAATTTCCTAATCAGAGATTGCCAAAGGCTTAACGTGAATCAATTTGGAGCTGTGTGCATCTCTCCTGCGGAATTCAATTTACTGGAAATTGATTTCAGACTCTGAATCTGCTTTGAATACTTATATTTGGTGGCTTAGCAGGGGATTCATTATTTGAGATGAATGCAAGAAGACGGGCGCCAGTTTTAATGAATATAAACTAAGATGTAGATTATCTCACAACTATTCTATTTGTCATTAAAACCATCTAGCTACTTGGTCAAATAGGATGTACTTGGAACATCTCGTAGCTGAATCAAATCAAGAAAGAAAGTCGTAGTTTTGTAATAGATATGTATGTACGTTCCAGGTACTAAATGAATTGGAACATACCCCTCTACATTTTTGATCACTTGATATACTCGTTAGCATAATAATTTATTAGGAATTTCCAAGAAGATTCTTAGCCACATATTTTGATTCGTTAAATCTTCATTGTTTTTACCGATTCTTACAATTTTATAATATCTTTACAATACCCAATGAAGGATTTAGATTATACTTTCAGATTTTCATCTTATCTTTTGTTTGTCCACTCTGCACTTGATAATGTTTCTTAAATATTATTAAACACTTCATTGAGAACTTTTGAGAACACTCTCATTAAAAATATATACACTCTTCTCATCAAATCAAGTTAGAATTTCTTGAATCTCCCACTCACCTTTGGCCTGTTGCGGTTGAGTTTTTGTGCCCATTATGAGTAGATGCGAAACTTAGGATCCGTCCTTAACAAAGATCTGTGCTGTGGTATCGCCAGCTGCTTTCAATCTCCTGGTGGCATCTGAACCTTCTAGACTCCGTCTGCGTATGCGTATGCGTATGCGTCTGTATCTGTGTATGGGTTTCCGGCTGCGTCTCCGCTTGCGTTGGTTGCAGCTCCGACTGCGGCTGTCCGTTGGCTATTGGTTCGTCGGTGGTTGTCGTCGTTGCTGGCGCTGGACGGACGTAAACCTCCATGTGTTGGCCTTGTCGAGCCGCCGTAGGCTAAAGGAACAGAGGAAGAGTCAAAGGAGGAGAGTGGAAGCATTCAGTAAGCATTCAAATGATTCGTCATCAGTCTGTAAAAACTTTGTATTAAATTATTCTATTTTCTCTGATGAATTGTTAATGCATTCATAAAGCTTTTTTTAAATGTTGTCAGCTGGACAGCTGGAGAAGGTCGAGCCAACGACAGGACACGACAGGACATACATGGGAAAGGCTTGTCTAGCACCCAGCTGGAGCGAACTTTTTTTATATTTTTTTCTTTTTTTTTTCCTCCAAACAAAATGAACTTGGGCTTGGTCTTGACAGCGCTATTAAAAATTTGATGCGCTCACATGCTAATTGTCGCACGGTTGAGCTGATTTTATGGGGGAGGTGCGAGGCTGGCAGGAGCTAGGGTAATGTGTCCATTAGCAGCTGTCGGCCTAACGTAATAGTAGTTATTGAACATATCCCCCGAACAAGCGAAAGTGTCCTTGAGGGATTTCCAGAACCTTTCCCCCACACCCACACCGTGTGTTAGTCATATTTTTCAGGCTTTAAGCCATTTGCGCAGGTTTCTTGGTAATCGCTTATATGATTTTTGTATCTTATTATATAATTTATTTGTCGAAAGTCCAAATTCTTTAAAAACACACAAATAAAACCAAAAAACGTATCATTAAGGCTACTGCTCGCATTCGTGATTTGGTACAAGCCTTTAAGCCATTTGTGCAAATTGAATGGCAAACGTTTACATCATTTCCTGTAATATTTCATAATTGCATAAACAGAAGCCCTATTCAGAACCAACAAAATAATGATCGTGAATTAATGAAACCACTATAAAATCAAATAAACGGAACGGATTGAAATGAAATGGAACAAAAAGATTCGTTTAGCGAATAATGTGAGTCATTGGAAGAGAGGGAATTGAGGGACAAGAGCGAGAGCGAGTGAAAGAGAAAGATTGTGGAAGAGAGAGAGAGAGAGAGAGACAGAAGAGAGACGGAGTAAAGCTTTGGTATCGTCATAAACAAAGTAGAAGGTAAAGCACAAAAGGGAAACGGCATGGCAAAACAAAGCGAGTGCAAGTGTACCCGGCGGATAGCGACAAACGATATTGGGATCGACTCGAATAATGAATGCCCTCAGAATGCCCTATAGAAAAATTATCCAATAGCAAATCGTTGGGGACAGTTTAAGATTTGTGAACAGTTTGAGATGAACGAGCGAATTGG